CAGATTAACAGTCATGAAGCTATGGGCTTTTAAACAAATTAAATCTTCCTATAAATTTGCTCGCTAGATCCATGCTATAACACATTTGTTGTATATCTGTCCTCCAAAATTTCCAAACAGAAAAGAGTCCTATCCCTATTTTTCAACACATATAAAGGGCATCAATATGTGACAATGACCTGTTTAAAGGAGATCGGATAACGCTACATGCTTATTGTTCCATTTGAGACGATAACTTTTGCTTGGAGGACAATGACCTGTTTAAAGGAGATCGGATAACGCTACATGCTTATTGTTCCATTTGAGACGATAACTTTTGCTTGGAGGGGTGTGACTGTTTTCTTGGTATGGTAGTGACTTTAGCTTTTGTGCTAGTTGAACATATCACAATCTCAACCTAGAGAGCTTTCACTACACAGGAAATAGATCTTAACAAGAGAGAACCAAAGAGAAACTATAATAGATGCCAACATACCTGCGGTTGTGCCAAGCAGAATAGTTGCTGAAATTGTCGTATATCCTTTCAGTTGTGTATTCGAGTTCCTTCTCATCTGGTATGTTCTTCAGTGCTGTGACAAACCTGAAAGGGTTTCCAAAAAGAAGAGTGCTTAAGCAAAATGCAAAGTCCGGTGATTTGCATTCAGCTTAATCCAGTTAATCACCTTCTATAATTCCATGCATGGAAATTGCGGGCGTCTGCCTTCTGGAACTTGTCCAGAAGCAACAATTCCTTGTCCGTAGAAGAATGCCCTTTACTCAGCACCCATTTACGGTGATGCCATGCTCCGTAAGACTTGAAATTCCTCTTCAATGCATTCTCTACCTAATCAACATACAAAACTTTCAGCTGAATAATAGACAAATTCACACGAAAAATAATAGCTGAATGAAAACAAGCTTTGGCTTTATTTGAACCACCAAAGCACAACAGCATAGAAGTAAGTTAACCTATACTTGAAAGTTCATTATTCATTCAATGCAGACTACTCAGTCATATTCAATCATTCCAAAACTAGTTGAGAGCCGAATACTTTATATCTAGAGGGTGTTTGGCTAAGCTTATAAGCTGGTCAAACTAGCTTATAAGCACTTTTCGGCTTATCTACGCGTTTGGTAAAGTTAAAAGTGCTTATAAGCCAAGTGCTTATAAGTCAAAAATAAGCCAAAAGTCATAAGCTGGTCACCCCCAGCTTATGAATTTTTAGCTTATAAAAACTTTAAGTTTGACCAAGATTTTTACTATTTTATCCTTAAAATATTCCTTTTTAGAACAAAACTCCTACATCGATACTCATTGCCTCAAGTATTCAACCTAAACCCCCCTCCCATCCACCCCCCACCCCCACCTCTTCAAGTCTGCAATTCTCATAGACTATTTAAGATAAGCAAATTCTCTATTCCTTTGCATACTTATATCTATGTGATTGTGTATTAATCTTTGAACTGTATGTAATAAATGAGGACATATCAAATTTTTGGTGTATTGCTTTCTAAGTGTTGTGGTGATGAAGACAATGTTTGTTTCTCTTCAAATAATTTGTCCTATTTAAGTTTATTTTTTACTGAGAAACTTTTGTCAATTTATTAATTATTGTAACTTATGATTATATGCTTATCATAAAATAAATTATACTATCATAAAAATTATCTTATCTAAGCACAATTTTATTTAAAATAAAATGACAAATAGAATATTTTGTATTTGAATCGATCTGGAATCTAAAATTTTGACGGTGTAAAAAGTTCTAAGGTTATTTAAGTCATTTTTAAATGAAAAAGAGCTTATCAGCACTTTTTCATCAAATACTGAATCAACTTATTATCAATTTCAGCACTTGTACCCAAACATGTAAGTGCTTATTTATTAAATCAGTTTCAGCACTTAAAAGTGCTTTTCAGCACCTAATGCTTATCAGCTACTTCAAATCAGCTAATCCAAACGGGCTCCTATTCCACTATATTAGGCTCATACTCTTCTACTTTATATGGCTCAGGACCCTCTACGTGAAGCTTACATAAGTAGGGTTCTAATCAATCAGATTAAAGAAAAGGCAGCCCGGTGCACTAAGCTCCCGCTATGCGTGGGGTTCGGGGAAGGGCGGACCACAAGGGTCTATTGTACGCAGTCTTACCCTGCATTTCTGCAAGAGGCTGTTTCCACGGCTCGAACCCGTGACTTCCTAGTCACGTGGCAGCAACTTTACCAGTTACACCAAGGCTCCCCTTCGTTCTAATCAATCAGATTAATTAGTCATATTAGGTTTAGTTAATAACTTAGCATTGTTATTCAACTCACTTCTTGCACTTTATAATAACAGCATAAAACATCATTCCACAACAAGACCAAGTAGGCCAAAAACCAAACTATGATTTATCAGTTTTAAGCACAGATTTTAGCAGAAAAAAGCTAAGTGGTGGGAGCCAAAAAAAAAAAACACCGGCAAGCTAATTGAGAATTTGGACTATATGAATCTCACAGTACAATCCGACCCATTTGGACCCGTTTCAAGAAAAAAAAGGGAAGTGAAACAAACATTGCATCTTTATTCAAGAAAAATAACAGAAAGATTGCATTTTTATTCAAACAATTACATTAAGATTGCCTTTTTTAAAATAAAAAATAAATAGCTTACCAATCTGAGTTCTTCATCAAGAATTGATTTAATAGACTCTTCATTATTGTCAGCTTCAGGTAGATTCAAATTATGTTGGACAGCAAGTTTTCTGTAATTCCAAGCGGTGTAGTACTCAGGATTTGACTCTAATAACTTTGCACTTACATCTAATGCTTCCTTTGTATATCTGAAAAAAGAACCCAAAAGAAACTTAGAATTGATTTAGATCAAGAACATGCAGTGAACAGAAAAAAAAAAAAGGAAGAAAAAAAAATTACATTTTGTTGTGATGTAATTGGAGAAATTGGGATTGGAGAGAACGTAATTTGGAAGCTTTGATAGCAGAAGCTTCTTGCTCTTCTGTTGTTGGAGCTTTGCGTGGTCTTCCGTGCATTTTTTTCACACACAATTAACCCACAGATGAGTTATCAGGGGGAAAATTTTGCTTTGGGTTTAAGGAATTCTTTTTGTGACGCTTAAGTATAAATACGGTTAGATCTGGTCCGATCCGAATACTCTCAAGGCCTCAGTTTATACCGGAATAATGCAATAACATTTAGACTTCATTTGTTTGCACTTGAATCTTAATTATTCAGATCTCAGACATTAAATATTTTTATTTTTAAAGTCTAAATTTTTATTATTCAGATCTTAATCATTAAGCTTTTTGTTTTTTCACTTCACAACCACTTAATAGGTCTGTATATGTCTATATGATTAAGATCTATAACATAGACTTAATTTCATTAAGATGCTATCATCCATATTCATTATTAACTGCTGTCACCGCCTATCTTTATCAACTACCACCATGCCACCCACCGCCACCATCATCCTCAATCATAGTCGCCGTTTTTATCGACTACTACCACCCACCACTCCGACCACCATCATTCTCAACGAAAACCGACACTCATCCACCTCAACTACCACACTAACCACCACATCACCATCAACAACCATCCCGTCTTCATAAACTACCACCACCAGCCACCATCTTCCTCAATCACAACTACTACCACCACCACCCGCCATTATTAACTATCACCACCCACAGCCACCATCCTCAATCACAATAGCTACCACTACCACCACTAGCTACTATCCTAAACTACCATTATCAACCAAATCTACTACCAACCACCGGTTTTAGTCGGCATTCACAAATACTACCGTTAGGCCATCACCGCCAGCAACTATCATATTTTTAAAAAAAAAAACTATATATATATATATATATATATATATATATATATATATATATATATTATTGGTGGAATACTAAATTAATTAGTATTTTATTTGAATTTTATGTTTGTTAATTTCCAAATAAAGATAAATTTTATACATTAAGTTATTAATAATCAAACAGTCTTAATCATGTAGTATTCAGGTCTTAATACACATCTTAACATTCAGCTGTGTATTCAGATTCAGATGTCCCAATCTTAATACACATCTTGATATTCAGATGTGTATTCAGATTCAGACGTCTTAATCTTTAAAAAAAAAACAAATGAGGCTTTACAGCCATTTCCCTTTTAAACTGTCACATTTTTATGGTAATTCACGTACATTTAGCTTGAAGAGACACAAGTGAAAATTTTGAGTGGTGCGGAGTCGTGCGTAAAACATCTTGCATTCACGCATGCATTCCAAAGAGTGTGATAAGACAATCGCCGAACTCTGACCTCACGTGGAGATAACTTTATCATAGCTCTAAATATCATGGAGACAACTTTACTATAGCTCAAAATATTTGCATTTATGCAGGATCCGACAAAGGGCTGCGTCCTACAGAATGTGATAAAGAAGGCCACATCCCAAAGAGTGTGACGAAGACAGCCTATCCTAATGCAAACACGGTTCGAACTCATGACCTATAAGTCACACACGGAGATAACTTTACCATACTCCAAGGCTCCCTTTCGATGCAGAGTTGTTTGTTATTAGCAACATATTAAGTTTTCAAGGTTTTTTTTATGAAATGACAAACTTGAACTCTGCTGGCTTTATAAAATTTGTCGTTTCTTGTACCACAAAAAAAAACTATCGTTTCTTGCAATATTATAGAACTCCAAAAATTGACTATTTTCACTTCAAGACCATTATGTAGAAAAATTTGATAACATGCTCTTACTTCTGCAAAAAATCCATAGTGATGAAATAATCCATACTCAACCTTCAGGAAAGTAAAACCACCAAGGCATGGCATACGAAACCAGATAAGAATACTCAAGGTTTTTGTCTAAAGGACTATGATCCTTCCTTTTTCTCCTCTTTCCCTGGAGTAAATGAAACATTTAAAAAAAAAAGAGTAAATGGAATACCATGTCCCAAAATGAAGTAAAGAGTGATAGTGGTGCTTCTTCAAAGTGTAAATGATAGCATAATAACTTAAATATTGTCATTTAGCAGGTTACTTCATCAATGGCAAAGCAAATGTTCAAGCAACTGAAGTAATTAAGTAATGTCACAGACTGAATCATGCACCCGTGGTTGTGCCAACTACACCAGACATTTGGCATGTAATAGTGTGACTATATAAGTTATAACTACTTGGACAAACCACACCATCGACAACCCTTTTGATCTGAATGTTCAAGTGAGTTGCTTAACCTACTCGCAAAAATTTTGCGAGTCCTATGTATTCTCTAATCTAATTGTTCTCGCGCCCATCTCATACAGCTAAACCCAGCAAAATCAAATGCATTAAGAAATTTCTGCCTCTGTGTTTGTAACCCGGCCTTGGTCTGCATCTGTAGCACATGTTGTTTGCTGCTCCAAGCAACTGGCTGAACTATCTACTTCAGAAGTTAGCTGCTCAATTCCAGTAACGGCACTCCGCTCAGTCATATCTCCTCCAATAGGTGCAGCTCCGGATTCTGTACCTTGAGTACTAACAGCAGCATTTTCATGCAACTCTGGTTCTGCTTGATTTACCATCTGAACTTCCAAGTCACCAGTATTCTTTGTGCAGACCTGCTTGCTGGCATTCCTCCTCTTCTTTTTCTTGAAATGGCCTTTCTTTGGTTTCAGAGCTGCTGCACTTTCTTGGTTGCTGATTCCCAAATCTGTGGTCTTCTTCATTGGTGGAATGACAGTGTATGCAGAATAGTCATTAGGCTTATCATCCGGCCACAACCCACTAGACTGAATGGCCAGCAATGCAGTTCTAGCAGCTTTGATCTCTGCTTCCTTCTTTGTCGTAGCTGCCCCTCCAATATATCGGATTCCCCCTATCTCAACAATACAGGAAAATGAACATGTGATCTTGCCTTTTGTTTCATGCCACTGCATTTCATATTGTGGAATTGCAAAATTCATCTTCTGAGCATAGTCTTGCAACATATTTTTGCACAAGCCTGTCTCATGCTGAAACATAGACCAAACAGGCAAAATAGAAAGGTATTATAACTTCCAGAACACGAAAGCTTGAAAGTTAACAGCACAACAACCAAGAATTAGTACTAAACTAGTTAACAAATAAAAAAAATGGTTTCTTTTATAGCCCTTGCGTTGCTCCATATTACAAAATTATGCACATTCATAGAGTTGGATCCACATGACATCTGAGCACATAGCCAAGGAAGCAATCTAACATACTTCAAACTAACAGATAAACCCCTAGCAATCTAACATACTTCAAACTAACAACTAAAAGGAGGGCTAAAATGACAAATAAGGCATTCCACCACAAAATGGGAAGTTTATACAGTTACCTAAGCATAACGATCATTAAGAACTGGCCTAGGGTAAGTTATTGGCATGAAGATGCTAGCCATCATAGTGAAGCAATCTGCCACCGCAGATTGGAATTCAAAAGCAAGAAGTTACCCGGAAGATGGAAGTTTTTTAGGAAAAATTAGCATAGGAGATTAAAATGGCCAAATTAATTCTTGAAAGAATTGTAAATAGATTATTGCTATTTTTTTTAAATAGCAGACAGCTGACCGGAAAACTTCACAAGACCGAGTACTACAAGTAATGATTATGATCTCCCCATCTGTAAAATATTTCAAACAAAACCCCTCCCAATCACCCTTTATGTCAAAGTTCTTATGTACCTGCCAGAAATCATACCCACACTTGATCTTTTATCTACTTGCCAAAATCGTATTTCTCCTCCCCTTTAAATCTAGTAATTATCTAATCCAAAATCTAGAAATCAATCAAATTATCCCCTCCCTCTCCCCCGAAAATGAAAAGCAAAATATGTATTCACACAAGCCTTCTGGTCAGAATGCAGGAATAGTTAAGATCGTAGTGCATACAAGCCCAGAAGCACAATTTGTTTTGTCCAAACGATGAAGGATATAGAAGAAGTACCACTGGCTGAGAAAGGCACAATCCCACTGCCCCAGAATCTACAAGTTGCTTGAGTGCAACTTCAGCAGCTGACTGCTCCGCTGTCTTGCGATTTAAAAATCCAGGTAGAGAATCATATCTGACATTATTCACGATCACTGTTGACCTAAATGTAGGCTTATGAGAAGGGCCGTCTTTGATAATCTCATAAACAGGGGTAGGAAATCCAACTTTCTGGGCATACTCTTGCAATCGGCTTTTGAAAACATAACAAGTTGACACACCTGTAATGTGTTTAAAAGTAAGTGACCACCCTAATAAAACTAGCAATAAGCAGGAAAGACAGCTTAAAGCAGAAAGGTGACAAGTAAATACAAGAGAATTAGATTTTCAACCCTTTGTATAATAATAACACAAATGCATGGACGCATATGTCTATAAAGCTACACTTTCTGCAAATTTGGACCATCAAATCCTGTGGATCGGACAATGTAAGTATTATGGATTGGGAACTGTCATATTTTCTTGTTCCCTCTCTTTTCAAAACCCTAATACCCCTGTCTAAGAACAAATATTTGCACCTATCCAAAATTATAAGAAGTAAAGAAGTATTAAAAATAACCTATGCCTAACTACCCTTTGTTGAATCTTTAGCACAAGATCAGTAAATCTAATGGTGTACATGCGTGCTAACTTCCAATCTTTTATAACGCTCAGTTTCATCAATTCAGCCAAGGAAGTGATATATGTCTTAAATCTCTTGGATGTGCCTCTTAAACTATGGACTGAACAAGGAAATGGTGTTCTCTCTGTACAATCATCCTATAAAGTTCTTGGTAGCAGCAGAAAATTTTCCTTCATGGCCTTCGAAGATCATTTCAGGAGCCAAAATTCCTTACAAGGCGGCATGTTATATCTACAGAAAAGAGGTCTGCAGTTATGTAGCCGATGCTTCCTCTGTGGGAAGGGAATTGAGGATAGCAGGCATTAGTTCCTGCATTGTGAGGTTGCTGGTTACCTTTGGCATCTCTTTTTCAATATCTTCGGGATCAAATGGGTCATTAAAGCAACCATTAAAGATCTCCTCAGCTGGACGTATTCCAAAGGAAATAAGAAGCTGGATACCTATGAGGACTATTCCTGGTTGCACGTTTTGGGACTATATGGAGGAAAAGAAACTTAAGATGTTTGAGGGTAAAGAAATTCCTATACAGATTCGGAAAATATATACTTATGTAACTTAGCTACGTGGTATAGTCTTGAGTATGTATGATGAAGGGAGACTGTTAGAATTCATAGATTCATTGCAAAGTTAAGCTTCATTGTACTATTCCGGCAGATGTAACATTCAACACTGTCTTAGTGCTGGAACTTCATATGAATAAAACCTTTAAATTATCGCAAAAATAAAGTGTTACCAGTCCAGATAGATATATCTCCAACAACAGAAAGGGGAAAAGGGAAGGAAAAACACAGCATAACAGGACACACAAAGTCTCTATTGAAAAATAAAAAGGAATAAAAAAAGGCCAAAAGAATGCTTATAACCAGTGAAAAATGCTACTCAAAATCCATACTGTAGAGCTACATACCTAGACTCCCCAATAGACTAAAAGCTCTATATAAACTTTTTGATTTATGGATAAGTAATATAAGCTTCTTTAAACTACAGATACAACCAACACATGCTGTGCTTTTTATTTAATTATTTATTGACATTGGTGTTCGCGCCAGTTTGCGTGCAATATTCCTCCGAGTACCTACTACCTAACTCTTCCCACCAAGGCTTAGGCGGATAATCACTTAATGTTTTTTGTCGGATTTAAATCGAAACCGTTAGGTTTATTATATAGCTAAAGACACGAACAAACACCTAACTACCCTATACCTCAACTACCCATTAAACCCAAATATATTAGCCAAAAACTTATCTTCTTTTAAAGAACTTAATAACATAGATTTTTTTTTTTGCCACAACAAAGATTTCATCTTTTTTCCTCATTGCTTTTCCTCAACAAAACTTTCATTCAGAAACTTCAATTTCTTTGGTATCCAAAATCCTCTAAGCACATAAAACTCAAAAATAGCTTGCAAATAAAATTAAATTTATCCTAGTCTATTGTTCATAGTAAAATCAATGTTGAAAAATTTACAAAGAAAATTTAAGAGATTTAAAATAAGAATAAGGGAAAATACCTTGGAAGCTCTCATTTTTCGCCATTTTTGTTATCGTCGCTAAACACAAGCCAAAAGGAGAGAGAATTATGTAGAAACGGAACTTTTATAGGAGGAAAAGTGATAGGGCATTATTCTCTGAATTAAAATTCCATAAATGCCCATCAAACGTTTGAGCCAACTGGAAGAAAATGTGGTAAAATTGATATTCCCCTTTCTGTAAAGGGTAAAAGTGGAAACTTATTAATTGCAAATAAAACCTTTGGATTTCTTGGAATAAGAACCTGTTCCGCTCTGGCCTCTTCTTTTCTACTTCAAAATTGCGGCAACGATTTTACAAGCAGGCCATCCAACCCTAAACCCCAAAATCCACCATATATATACATATATAATGTGTATATACATAAACCCACTAGCTTTATTTGGTTAAAAATTGGATCTTTTAGGAGCTTTTTGTAGTTTTTTGTTTAACGAATAGTTTATATTGGATCTTTTTTATCTGGGAATACATATATATGTGTATTTTCACCCACCCACTAGCTCTATTTAGCTCAAAATTGGATCTTTTTAATTTGGAAATTTTGTATTTTTTTGTTAAGTGATAGTTTGGATTGGAGCTCTTTATCTGGCTATACATATAGAGGTGCATATTCACACACCGCTAGCCCTATTTGGCTAAAAATTGCATCTTTTTTTCTGTTGGAAATTTTTGTATTTCTTGTTAGGGATAATGTGTATTGGATTCTTGATTAGAATTCAAATATAAAGAATGGAGGAGTCAGAAAAGAGAAAGGAGAGGCTGAAAGCAATTAGAGAGGAAGCTGCAGAGGCTGTAGATAACTCTGAAGTACAAAAATCTATAGGGGAACCCCTTGGTGATGGCCTTATCAATCCATTGATTGAATCTCCTTCAGCTTCACAACCGTGTAACACGCCTCGTCCAAGTAATTACATTTTCTTTCTTGAAAGTTTTAATATATTCATGGATGCTTGTTGTTATCGGTACTAATATTTCATAACTTGTTGGCGGTATATTGGATAATGGTAAACTCTAGATCACATAAATAAGTAACAAGATCCTATTCCCGAAGAAAAGAAGCTTAAGAATAGTCATAAAGACCATATTTTACTTTTTCGGATTATTAATATAGAGATTAGGTTGAAGAGTGAAAGGGACGAAGATGAACTGTTATGATGTTGTTGAACCTAGTGCTCGGGAGGTTGTGCTTGATTGAAATCATAATGGCAAGAATACTTAGATGGACATAGTTCAGGATCGATGTAACTGAGGAGAGAACAGGAAGGTGTGAGACCTTTGCTTGAACCCCCCCACTCCAACTCAGAAAGAGAATGAATCTTCGTTATAACATCAAAAAAAGTTGAGAAAGAAAGTGAGTTACCTATCAACTTAACCATTTACTCTAAAAAAAAAAAAAAAAAGGTAACTCACTTAGCAACAGATTCTTGTCATCATGGGGAAGGGGGATAAATATATATACATTGTTGTTTTGTGATTATTGATCAGGGTAGTATGTGGCGAAACAAAAGCTGATTGCTACTAATGCTGCCAAAGGTCTTGACGTTGATCTCATTTATGTAGGATATGTTTCTCTGTTTGCATAAATTTGAGGGAAAAGTATTTAAAAGAAAAGAAAATTAATTACAGGTGAGATCAACATCAGTGATGCTGCTTCTCTTCAGTTTGTTCTATCAGTTAAATTTTGGGCCCTTGCCAGGTAGATGTATTTAGTGGAAAAGCTTGTGCAATAACAAATTGTAGCACTTTAGCATGAAATGCGTACTCTTTTCTAGAATTTGGAGTAGGTTCCTTTAGCCTCTCCCCTGGAGAGAGGTCGGTTTATCCGAAATGATTCCTGATGCATGTTGGAGAATAAAGTATTCTGTAAATAACTTTTACATGTGGTTAGCATCCTATTAGCATGAAAAGTAAGGGTATTGAATCTGAAAAGGGATGATTTTGAGGCGTTCTCTTAGACAGAAGGGTATATAGTAGGTCTGGTTTGGTATGTTATTCTAATGACAGTAATTTTAATGTTCTAGCTTTGGTTCAACGAATACCATCATGTGGAATAACTGGTACACTATTTTATTTGCATTTATTTACAATAAATTGAGACCCCTGTTTACTGTATTTTCCAGGACCAACGAATGCCGGTTCTCCAGCATATCATGTTCAAGGCAACTATAACTCAGCGAAAAAAACATACCAGCCACGAGGAGTCAATGCCATTCCTCTTGGGATCCGTAGGAAAACTAGTCCCATCTGTACACCAATGAGTAACTCCTCTAACACTTTGGATAGCTCTCTTGGCACACCTAACAACTACTCTCCACCTAATTCACCGCAAATTGGTGACATTTCCAGTGATTGCTTTCCTCAAGGAGGTGGAGACGGTAGCCAATATTGACAAGGCAGCCCCTACCAAGGTTCAGGATTCAGAGGCAGCCGTCACCGAGGTTCAGGACGAAGCAAGGGTCTATTGAAAGTTTACTATCACAAGTCAATGGTGCAAGACCCATGGAAAGTATTGAAACCAGTTATTTGGAAGCCACGTGGAGATACACGTGACTCCGCGAATTCCTGGCTTCCAAAATCCAATCTCTCAAAGAAGGCTAAACTTGGAGAAACTCCAACAAAATCCACTCCCCAGCAAAGCCTCGCTGAATACCTGGCTGTCGCCTTTACGGAAGCAGCTGGCAAAGACACTGTGAATGATGAATCTGGCACATAAAGCTTTGTAATGCTTGGAGTTTTTAGTTATAATCTCATACTCCTGTAACTACTGCAAATAGCAAGTTGAGCTGTAGTCTAAGACCATATTTCTGTACAGTTTCCTGCTCATTTTATGTTATCATCGACAGTAAGTTCCAGTCATCGTTTCACTTGAATCACTATTGGAGCGCGGCAATATTGAACAGATTTTATGCACCCGGGTTTGTTTTGTATATGGAATTGTGAAGTCATCACCTACTTAACTCCCTAACCTATTGTGACGTTTCATGTTTTGTTTCATGGATATTGGACAGTAAAGTGATACAATAGTCAGTAATGTCACAACTATAAGTTGGTGTGACAAGAAAATGACCTTACGAAGATTTCATATATTTTATTTATCCATCTGTGTTGTTTCTACCGACCTCTTGTGAAAAGGGTCATATAACTAAAATTACATTTGCAGAAGACCATAAAATCGATCTCCCATGTCTGTTCAACTTTTTTTTTTAGTATTAGAGATTAATAATAATGTATAAGCGCTAGTCAGAGCAAGTAATATGGAGTTTAAAGAGGAGAAAGTTTCCTCCTTTGAGCGAGGGAAAACATCTTTATATTACCAAACACCTCATGGAAAATATTTTCCTGAAAAATAACTTCAGCTATACCAAATACTGAGAATTTTTCTGTCCGTCTCCTTTGTCATGTCATATTTGGATCAAAGTATATATATATATATATATATATATNATATATATATATATATATATATAAGTATCAAAGTCTGAAGAAATCTCCCAAGACTACTTATATCCACAAACATTGGATCATGAAGAAGGTTTCCCGTCATATATATATATATATATATATATATATATATATATATATATAAGTATCAAAGTCTGAAGAAATCTCCCAAGACTACTTATATCCACAAACATTGGATCATGAAGAAGGTTTCCCGTCATTCTGGAAATGTTATCCTTAAATAACAACTAAACAAATTCAACCCTCTATTATCTCTAGAGATTACATTTGTGGATACGATTCACAAGAAAAAAAATTCAGAACATAAGTTGTCAAAGATTGGTTAGTAGGATAATCGACGGTGTAAATTTTCAAAACGACGTGCTTTGTATTTCCCTAGCTAATTTCAGAAGGTAGATGTTTGTTTAATGCCAGAATCTACTGCAGAGCTCATGCTGGGCGACTTTCTGCTCCCTGCATATCTCATCCATGAACGTATCCATAAGTTGCCCCGCCATACTTGAATGGTCGTCGATAAAGGTGTCTATGAAAACTCTAACTACCTTTCTCTGTTGTGTAGTGGCTTTCAAGCTGAACCAAGTCAAGAACTTCACTCTGAAATCTGTTTCTATCAGCCCTTCATGCTCCAACTTTCTGATGATTCCTACAGAGTACTCGTAATCACTCAATTGTGCTTCCTTTGACCCATCAGTTTGGCAAGGTGTTGCCGGAGCACTTGAAACTGGACTTGCTAAAGGAATTAGCATCTTCGAAAGAGGGGATGTAGGAAATGCAATGGCGTTTGGATCATAAGTTGTTAGTTTGTTGTCAGTAGAACTCATTGACTCGGCATGCATCACTGTACTATCTGTAGTAGCATTTTCTCTCTCCCTTTGTACTTCATCAAAACCTGACTTACAGCTCGGGTGCAAGGCAGGTGTTACCCATGTTACTTCCTGAACCCCCAAAGTCGTTGTCTTGCTGAAGAAAGAAACCTTGCAGAAATACTGCGTAGAAGGATCAAGACCGTCCAGCTTAAATCTCGTCGCAGGGCTTAGTGCAATAAAAGTTACGTCATCTGGATATTCGTCTGCAGTGGACTTTCGATACCACAATTTGAAGCCTATTAGTTCTTTCAGCATACGATCATCATATTTGAAGACAATGGTTATTTTAGATGGAGATTGCTCCTCAAAATGCATCCGGCAAGCTGTCAGAGTGTTCAGTAAAAGCAAAATATGAAATTAGTAGTCCACATAATGAAAAATGAAGAAGACTATGGTTATATATCAGTTTGGCTGGCCTCCAGATTGAAGTAGTGAACATAAAAATCTATATTTAGTTGTTGGAACTCCTTGCAAAAGCTTCGATTAATTTGATAGAACTCAACTAGTATATCCCGTAAAATAATAGTCAAAGTTTAACGAGCTTGAACAAATAAAGAAACAATTGCAGTGATCCAACGAATATGGTACTTTTCTTGTCAAATTTATTAGACTATCATAACCTGCACCGTAATAGAGCTATTGACATGCAGATATTCAATAATAAATTGGCTAAGAATACTCACGCATCGGAGGCTCTTCCTTTGTCATAGGATTAAAGTATTGGTTGGGAAGCATGGAATCAAAAGCTTCCAATGCAGAACCACACAGCTTCTGAACTGCGGTACCACAAGAAAGCCTGTTCACTATTCTGCGATCCATCTTCTCTGACGCCTGTGCAAGAGGCCCTACTTCATTCTTCAGCATCTCAACAGCCAATTCAACAAGTTTCAGCAGTCCTTTGTATTTCTCAGTTTTCTCCAGGATCTTACGGCTTAGAGAGATTCTTAAACAAAGCACATCAACTCTTCTCGCCTCCTTCGCCGTCATCAATTGTTTTCTCAAGGTTCTAAAGCAACTCAGACAAGGTTAGTTAACTAAAAGATACTCCACTGAAAGAAAGAGAAATATTCACATTTTTCTCTGCTGATGTATGCCCACCGAAACAACCCCTATCAGTTAAAGATTTTTGCAAGGTATGGATCACTTGGACAACTATCTTGGGCAAATCAGAGCTATTATACAGATATTATAGGCCATTCTATAGTTTTTTTTTAAAATATATTTTCTCCGTATTGAAGGGGAGCCTTGGCATAACTAGTAAAATTGCTGCGATGTGACCAGGAGGTCACAGGTTCAAGATGTGGAAACAACCTCTTGCAGAAATGCAGGGGAAGGCTGCATACAATAGACCCTTGTGGTCCGGCCCTTTTCCGGACCCCGTGCATAACGGGAGTTTAGTGCACCGGGCTGCCTTTTTTTATATTTTCTCCGTATTGATAAGGGTATAAGGTCCATTACTTCCCAAGTCAGACTTTACTGAATATTTCCAAAAGAAAAAGAGCATGCAGATGAGGGATCACTAGTTCCAAAGAAATCACTATTGGTGCAAAGCATGCTAAAGAAAAACAATTTTACAAGAACATGTACAATCCATATTCTTGGATCTACAACAACAACAACGTACCAGTGTAATCTCACAAGTGAAGTCTGGGAAGGGTAGAGAGTACGCAGCCTTACCTCTACCTTGTGCAGGTAGAGACTAGAGAGGCTGTTTCCGGCAGACCTTCGGTTCAAAACAAGCATGCATAATCACAACAGTATAGAGAAAAGATATGCAGCAGTTAAAAAGTCAAAAAAGTTAACAACAGCAAGATAAAAACACACAATGTTACAGGTCAAAGAAAGAGTTAAATACCTCATCAACCCATTAACTTTTCCACAAGAAACACAGTAGAAATCTCCATCTAGTTTTTGATTGATGCAATTCTTCAAAATGCCGGATTGTTCGTGTTCAAGTGCACATTTTAGATGGCATGACAATCCGCATGGCTTAATTTCATCTGGAGAATCAGATTCACAGGTTAACCACAAACTAGGGTCTTTATTATCATCATACTGATGACAAATGCAGCAACAACATCTTTTGCAGAAAACGTCCTCTCTCTCAAGAGTAGCTCTACATGCCAAATTATGACAGAGTAGGAATTGAGTTTTGCTTTCCATCTCCCACTTAGCTTCACCATTCTGAACCAAAGTTTGACATTGATTTTCTTGCTTTCGCTGCCTTTTGAAACCAGAACCAGTATTTGTGCTGGACTTACAAGAAACCAGCTTTAGAAGTTGATCTATCATTTTGAATTTTGTGTAGCCAGAGTACTTTCTCTCTTCGCCCATCTCAGCACATATAATCTCTAGAAGTTCTCTTCTGGTCAATGAACTCAAGATCTTTGGCGCATCTTCTGAGCATTGAGAAATTTCATACACTAATTGTCTTTTCTCTTCCAAACTCAATTGGCTAAATTTGGTGGGATCGAGAACAAGACCTGAAAAGGAAAAACCTTCTGCATCAGTTAAGTCACATTTGAGTATCTATTTCAAATTTGAAGGCCTGAATCTACCACCCTCTTGACTTGGTAATAGAACTCTCATGTGTCTTTGCATTCCGAGATATCCCAAGTATTGAAAATAACACACTGAAAGTAAACCTGTAAGGATTTCGAATATTAAAGTAGAGACTACGATAGGGATTTGACTACGGATTTATTGTCTCTGAGCCGAGGGTCTCCCGGAAACCGCCTCTCTATCCCTCCGGGGTAGGGGTAAGGTCTGCGTACACTCTACCCTCCCAGACCCCACTATTGGAATTCTACTAGGTTGTTGTTGTTGTTGTACTACTATAGGGCTTTGGTACTCAAAGCAACTCGAGAGTTATATGGTGAACTAACAGCTATCACATTGAATATTCTCTTTTACACACAGGTATCACAAGAGTTTACTAGGATCCTATTTATGAGTTAGCTAGTGCAAATTCATACAAGTATAAATCTCTATCGCTCATAGGAGATCAAGTTAATTGGGATCTCTCTAGTTCTCCACTAAATAAACCATCCTTTTACCAAAGATCAAATGTTGTTAATGTTTCCCCATCAACACCTCAGTTTACTTTCTGCTTGATTCATTCTTTTTTCTAACTTTTTTCCTCATCTAACCTGCTAATTCAACTAAGATACCATTTGTTAATTAACATAATATTGCATGCTTATATCATTTGAATACTCTATACTCGGCCTAAGATGCACAAGCTTATGTTGCATCAGAAATAAGAAAAATGACAAAAAAGAGTGCATTTTTAAGCATCAATTGCAGTTCCTTTTTATTTAATTACTACTTAAAACACAGCATTTTTTCCTAGCTAGTTACAAAGTAGTCTAAAACACAAATTACATTGCCAAGTACAAAACTTTTTAAGGAATTAAAAATACATAATAAAAAAAAATAATAGTGCACAACAAAATGATTTTAAAAAAAGAGCATACCAAGTCCAACTAAAAGAAATAAAAACACCCCACCATTAGCCTGATAAAACAGACAAAAATAAACCATAAAACAATTAGTCAATAGGAAGAAGGAAAAAAACCCTTAGTACCTGTTAAAGTAGACTCCATAGCAGAAATTCCAGTACCATCAAATTTTCTCATTCTCAGAAGCAAACAATAAAACCCATTTACTATTAAATCATATGGCGACCAAAACGAAACAATGCAGGTAAAAAAAATAGCAACTTTTTGAGATCAAGAAAAACTCAAAACAAGAACGACATTGTTATATTTTGTGTGTGCGCGAAAGGGCCAGTGAAGAAGCCAAGGAGGAGGCAAGTTTTTTTTTTTTTTTTTTTTTTGCGGGGGTGGGGGGGAGAAGGAGTGAAGAGTAAGCACTAAAAAGTGACATAAAAACAAGAGGAGTGAAAAGAATAAGAAATAGTAATAATAGTAATATAGTATTTGTGTTGTGGCCATTGATGTCAGATTATGAAGGTGTGATTTTACAGATTGTGAAAGCGAATGAGATTAGTAGGGGACCCACGCCCCCTCTATCCCTATAAACAAACAAAAAGAAAACGGGCTCTGCATTGTTTGCTTCCCACGTGCCTCTCACTTCTTTCTTTTTTTCATTTTTTCTTTCCTTTTTCAAGTAATTCGTATTCTAAAAATTCACCAGCCCAACTTATTAGAATGCAGAATATATCAACAAGTTCCACACTTTTCACTTCGACACTCTATTTTAAGTTTGTTTCATTTGAACACTTTAACTATATCTTATATATGCTATTTAGACACCAAAAACTGACATGGCAAGTCAAGTGTTGCTCTCATTTTCTTGGTGCGTAAAATGGTCCAAAAAACAAAGTACTCATCTTTTTAGAATGAATAGTTTTTGCCGGAAATACTTTCCAACAAATGTTTCTTTTAATTTTTCATCATTCACGTCATTCTATCTCCATCGGTAAAATCATTTCCTCCACTCACCCCCTTCTTCTATTCCTCCCGACCTATTGTGTCCTACGAACATGACAGAGAATTTTCCGGCAAGCTGAGAGGAGAAAAAAGAGATCTGCAACTTATAAAGGTTACTCATGGTTTCAAAGGATTTTGGCTTTTAGAGGAAACTTTCAAGATCTGCAACTTATTAAGGTTATAACAGTCTGAATGTTTGTTCTGATCGAAAAAGTTCCTTTCGGATATGAAAATTTTGGAATGTCATTTTTGAAAGTTTTTTCTCAGATCCAAAAATATTTTTTGCTTTCTCGTTTCACATCAGATCTGGGGAAGAAAATGAAGGAGGTGGAGAGTTTTGCAAAGATAAAATTTTTTTTGGGGGGGGGGGAGGGAGTTCATCGTGAAGATGACGGAAGAACGGGGATCATCCGGGAAGATGATGAAGGGGTGGAGGCTGGTTCTTTTTTATTTTATTTTATTTTATTTATTTTGAGTTAAATCCATGTGTCCTTATCTTATTCGTCAAATTGGCGTGCGAATTACACACTTTTGTGTTTGACTGCCTATTAATTTTGCGTCTAAATGGTACATATGAGATATGGTTGAAGTGTTCAAATTAAAAGGACTTAAGATAGAGTGTGTAAGTAAAAAATACGGACAATTTTAAGGGGTTACCGATGTATTCTGTCAATTAGAATTGACAGTAGCTAATATAGCACAATAATAATAATCGGCAGACATATATTGGCTAAGGGTTGTGTATTGGGAAAATTTAAGTTCATGTAGAGAATTAATTATGAGGTGACATGTCATGACACGTGGACTGGTAAAAGAATGACAGTTGGCAAAGAATAGTTGAAGAGGCACGAGCTTCAGCAGGCACGGGCAGAGATACAAGAAAGTCAGAAAGGATAGGTGCTCGAACCTATTGATATTCAGAAATCGCATCAGAAGAATGAACCTAAATAGCAAAAGGGGTATAGATACGTATTATTGGTAACTAATGGGCATTAATCACGCAAAACGTTATGGAATCTGTATTGAATCAGTTATGATTACCAATTATAACGTTACATTAAATGTCATTAATTGTCCATAATGACTCTATTATGAGAGAAACAAAACGTATCACTTAGAGATAGCTATAAAAGGTGAGGACTGAACATTTGTAAGGACACGAAATACTATTGAAATATACTTATTTACTTTGCTTTTTATTCAGTTATTATTTAAATCAATTATTTCTATTTCTATTTGATTATCAGTAACCCGAGTTCTTCTAAAATTAAGCTTTGACCGAAATCCCTATTTTTGGTTAAACAAATTGGTTCCGTTACTGGGAATCTGATAATCGTCTGCTTTCCAAATCAATTCTTTCATAAGAAATGACCATGTGGAATGTCAACGACAATAACCAACACAATTTACCACCTCAAGATCCACAGCATCAAGTGAACGATGCAGATGATAGAAACCCACCTCCTTCGCCATAACATTCTCATCGACAGTCACGAGAGGGGACTCCAGACGGATCTGAAGCAAATCAAAATGACAAAGTTGCGAACCAAAACGGATCTGAAGAAAATCAAAATGACAGAGTTGCGAACGAACAAGCACTCGATGACGCTCTTAAGAAATTAATTGCTCAACTGGCCAATAACGCTCTCCAGGCTTTTACCAGTCAGTTGCCGGTTGCACCGCCAACACCAACCCCGAATAATAATACTTTGGAAAACCCACGTTCTGGACTCGTTAATTCAGGCAGTGGTGGAACTCCCAGCGAGTCTCGTGATGGAGAACCAGGTAACATAGTTAATTCTGATTTACAAAATTTAGTATTAACCTTGCAGAACAGCTCAAGGAGCAAAGTGATCGCATAGAGCAAATACCTGGAGTACCGCCTGTAATCAAGGGAATAGATATGGATAAATATTCACAACAACCTTGGAAGCCCAGTGCTGCTCCCCTGTCGATTTCGAAGAAATTCAAGATGCCCGATATTCCAAAATACGATGGCACAACTGATCCACGAGACCACATGACTGCATTCACAACTGGTGTGAAGGGCAACGACTTAACCAAACAAGAAATTGAATCAGTATTGGTCAAAAAATTTGGTGAAACACTCACTAAGGGAGCATTAACATGGTATTCTCTTTTACCCGAAAATTCTACAAATTCTTTTGCCGAGCTTGCAGATTCATTTATCAAAGCGCATTCGGGAGCTCAAAAAGTCGAAAAAAGAATGAAGGATATTTTCAAAATAAAGCAAGGAGATTCAGAGCTGCTTAGAGAATTCGTAGACAGATTCCAGCGTGAAAGGATGATGTTACCACGCGTACCTGATAACTGGGAAGCTATGGCTTTTGCTAGTAATTTAAATGAGAAAAGTTCAGAAGCCACGAGACGACTCAAGGAAAGTCTACGCGAATTTCCAGCAACAACTTGGAATTATGTTTACAACAGATACAGCATGAAGCTGAGGATAGAAGAAGATACCATCTCCCAGTCTCAAAAAGAGGAAAGGGTAAGCTCAAGACGTGCTGAAACTGAAAAAAGGTCCGGTAAAAACAGATACGAGCCTTACATGGGACCAGCAGGAAGAGACTCACGTTCAAAGCAGGACAATTCAAGGTATGATCATAGATCGAGAGATAGAGAGTCGGGCTCGTCATCAAGGTTTGGGAAATAGCGAAACGCACGAAAGACACGAAATGATGATAGAAGCTCGAAGGCAAAATTTGGTGGTTACAATTTTAATGTCAGCACATCAGAATTAGTAGCAGTATTAAGAAGCATGGGCGATAAGGTGCGGTGGCCAAAAGAAATGAGATCAAATCCAAATAGGCGAAATCCTGATTTCTGGTGTGAGTTTCATAACGATCATGGTCACAAAATGGCAGGTAGATTGCTGCAAGGTGAAGTTGACCATCTATTAAAGCAAGGATATCTTACCGAATTGTTTAGTGAAAAAAGTAGCAAGCATACATGAAGAACAGGCAGGATCTCCCTAAACCTCCTTCTCCAAAAAGGACCGTTAACGTTATAAGCGGGGGAGAAGAAATTAATGGCGTGACATATACGGCAGCCAAGAAAGTTTCAAAAGTTACAGTTACACACGGGAGGCGGGTTTGACATGTTTTGGGAGAAGAAAGTATTACATTTGATGATGCAGATGCAGATGGCGTACTAACTCCACACAATGATGCACTGGTAATATCTCTACTTGTACAAGACACTACTGTGAAACGAGTTTTGATTGACCTAGGTAGCTCCATGAACATCATTTTGCTAAGAGTATTAAACGAAATGCAAGCTGAAGATAAGCTGGTACCCAAGGCGCATACTTTATCTGGCTTTGACAATTCAAGCGTTGTAACAAAAGGGGAGGTAGTACTTACAACATTCGCAGAGGGAGTTGTCAAAGATACGAAATTTCAGGCGGTAGAGGTGGATGTAGCTTATAGTGTGATTCTCGGTAGACCATGGATTCACGAAATGGATGTCGTACCATCTACTCTACATCAAGTTATTAAATTCCCTTCACAATGGGGGATACGTCAAATTCGTGGTGACCAACAGGCATCTAGGAGCATCAACTCCGTAGCAGATTCAAGCGCAAAAAACGAAGAAAAATAGCAATTACAGAATTTAGTTGAGGATGCTGCAACACAAGCCTCAACTGAACACGGGCGGACAGATGTAGACTCGAGGCCCGATTCCATCCAAGAATCGGAAGAAAATGAAAACATCAAAATGACGATCGAAGAATTGGAGGCTGTAGAACTATTCCTACAATGGCCTGAAAGGAAAGTCTACATTGGGGCTAACTTAAGCCATGAAATGAAAGGTAAGTTGACTGAATTTTTGAAAACTAATGTGGATTGTTTTGCCTGGTCCCATTCTGATATGACAGGAGTACCTCCGGAAGTAATGAATCACAAGTTAAATGCAGATCCATCATATCCACCTGTCAAACAAAAGAAAAGAAAGCAGGGATCTTTCAAAAATCAGGTGATTCAAGATGAGGTGCAAAAACTTTTAAAAATTGGGTCTATCCGCGAGGTAAAGTATCCTAATTGGTTAGCTAATACTGTAGTAGTACCAAAAAAGAATGGTAAATGGCGAGTTTGTGTAGATTACACTGACCTAAACAAAGCTTGTCCTAAAGATTCTTTTCCGTTACCACATATAGATCAACTAATTGATGCTACTGCAGGACATGAATTGTTAAGCTTTTTAGATGCATATTCAGGGTATAACCAAATCAAAATGGATCCCCTATATGAGGAAAAAACTTCATTTATAACAGACAGGGGGACTTACTGTTACAAAGTAATGCCATTTGGCCTAAAAAACGCTGGGGCCACATATCAAAGGTTGGTGACCAAAATGTTCCAAGAACATTTAGGGAAAATCATGGAAGTCTACATAGATGATATGCTGGTCAAATCCCAACAAGCAGGAAATCATATTCA